TTCCAAATCGTTTGCTTTTGTTAGTGAGTAAATTAAACTACGTGATTATATCATTATTTGGAAATAACGGAAACAATAACGGAAAAAGTACGCTTATATTAGAAAGAGGCAGTTGAAATATGTAGGGCACATACTGAGGAAAGCAGGCTTGGGGAATTTGACACTAACAGAACGTACTGAAGGCAAGAGGACATGGAAAAGTCGGGTAACCTACTTCACGAGCTTGTGTAAAGGGATGGCAGAACAGGGAGTGGGTGGGATTAGTAAAAAGACAAATGTTGCTAAGAGATACAAAAGACAGAGAAGCTGTAGAAATCCATGATCGCCTACGTCCAGAAGGGGCACGGTACACGAAATGATATTTAAAAGAATATTAAACGAAGCTTATTGCTTGCGATTTTTACTATTTATAATTATTTTTACCTTTTGTTTTCTATTTTCATTTTAATTAACATATTTAAAAAAGTGAAATGATGTCTTACAGACTAGCCCCGTGGAAACAGTTGTTGAAGATACGCAACCTGCCGCGCTACTGACAGATGGAAAAGAAGAGAAAAATTCACAATTTCAAAAGCCGATTTTAATACTGAAAATCCCTGCTCTTGAGATAAGTCCAGGTAAGTAAATTATTTAGCAGTAAAACCTGTAAACTCACTTGTGAAGTATAGGGCCACAGCCTCGCCACGCTAGGTGCCGCTGCGGCAATTTCTGTTTCACAGAGATTTATATGAGGGTGGAGATGACAGTCCCACGCCCAACCGGTTTAGTTGTCCTCCTGGTTGCAAATAACCACTCGAGAGCTCAGTTTACCCTGCCTGGGAGGGGAGATGGATTAATATCTTTCCAAGGAGATTTGGGTAAAAAGCGAACACAACGACCTCGAATGGAGAGCTGATTTATTGTTTCATTTGTTTAACGGCACATCAACTAATTATTGGTCATTTAATGTCGCAATTTAATTTTCTTGGGATCTTTGAATTAATAAAAATATGATGTGTTATTCTGCGTTCTGAAAGTAAATACATTGTAGATGATATTCAGCTTTTGTGTATATATATATATATATATATATATATATATATATATATATATGTTTGCGTGGATATAATTACTAGAGGCGGTGATATCTATGTTTTATGTTGTAGTTTTCTTGAAGTTTTATTTTAGATTACAGTTCGATTTCTTTAAGAAATTGTAAGATATTATATGGATTAATGTCATGAAAGAATTCTTTCATGTTAGTTGTTTGAATTTTAACCTCTATGGGCTAATTAATACCGAAATATAAATATTTTGAACACAATTTTATGACTAACTATATTTTGAACGGAATTGTATGCCTTCAACTACAGATAAAATGTTGGTCATTTTGCTATAAAATGTATTGTTGGTAATTCTACTATAAATATGTATTGTTGGTATTTTTTTTATATAAAAAGGTATTGCTGGTATTTTTACTATAAAAATGTATCTTTATATGAAAAGTGTTTTGTTTGGGGGGGGGTCACTATTTGCCCATAACAGGTTCTACCACCCCGGGTCAGGGTAGACCTGGGAACAACAGCAATTATAGAGGTAGTTCCACGCTCCTCAAAACCACCAATCCCCGATCAGAGGCCTGGAAGTTGAACTCTTTGCGCCAATAAGACTTCCCTCGACGATACCCACTGTGCTTTGTCTACATCCGAAGTAAGCTATGCGTATAGTTTAAACATTTCCTTAAAATATTGACTTAACAATAAAAAAGAACATTTCGACTGAAATTTACATCGACTAATACACGAAGTATTCCCAGTAGATCATGTTTTTGAACCCTTTAAATTCAAAAACAATATTTATTTGAGATAGCATTTTCACCAATATATGTAATATTCATAACTTCAAACGTTATTTTTTAGTGGATACCTGTATTTGAAATAGACGATCCATTGGATAAAAGTTGGATAACGAACAGTGGATATTACGAGTGACAGAACTAATTTCAGCTCGGAACTAATTTCAACTCAGTTCAAAATCAAATTTATTAATTTCCGTGAATCCCTAAACAAAATGCAATGAGTTGGTGTCATTTTTTTAATTTAGCATTAAATATCCTTAGTAGATAAGATAATTTAGAATTCATCTTTTCTGCAACTTTCATTAATTAGTTCCGAGTTGAAATTAATTCTGAACATCGATATTACGCCTATCGGCCTTCGCAGTTGAGAAAAATCAATAAAGAAAATGTGCTTTTCTATTTCACACAGGGATATCCATTAAAATATCGTTTGAAGTCATAAAAATGTCGGATTAAAAATAAATCCATTAATTTCTTAGAAATTACATACATTATGTGTGTGTGTGTGTGTGAGTTGTGTGTGTGTGTGAGTTGTGTGTGTGTGTATGTTTGTGTGCGTGTGTGCTTGTGAAGATGGGACAAAGTGAAAAAAAAAAATTGAGAACGTGTTCCACCGGAGCCTCTGCAACCTTTGACTTCCTCAGGTTCTAATGAAAGGCTGAAAATTTGTATGTGAGAGAAAATATATTCGGATCTCTGAGGATAGATAACAATCCCTTAGACATGAAAAATATATACATGGCTAGCTTGGATATCAAATACATATGACACAAGCATACCAGTCACCAAATTCTTAAGATTTACAAAAAGTTAAAAAATCAATCTTCCACAACCAACGAACAAAAATATAAGAATATGTTGACTCATTACAAACCAATGTTATTTCACCTTCAACGGGACTTTTTATAGACAGAAATTTGGACTACCGATGGGCTCACCGCTCAGTGGAGTACTGGCATGCCTTTCCGTAGAATTTTTAGAATCTGGTCACCCTTTTCAGCGTATTCTCCCCAAAACCGTAACATATTTCTGATACATTGACGATACCCTATTAATACACCCATACGACAAACCAGTACCAGAATTTGTCGATAGATTAAACGGAATAGAGCATACAATCGATTTCACCTACGAAAGAGAACAAAACTACACTTTACCATATGTCGACATCATGTCAATACGCACACATAAGGATAATCAACTTAAGGTCTATGGAAAACCAAAAAATAATAATAACCTCATACAATTTACTCCCACCACAAAAATAAAATATAATCCAGAATATTCACAGGCTTTTATTTAAGAGTACTAATATATATATATATATATATATATATATATATATATATATATATATATACGGGAGGTAACAGCAAAATTGGCCAAATAGCGTAACAACAAAATTATCCAATTGTTAGATTAAGCTTTGAAACGTTGTATCTTAGAAATGATTAACGATATCTTACTGGAATTCTGAAAGTTATTTTTTATAACACTATTGGATTCGGCTTTGAGCAATAAGAATGTATAATAACACTCCAAGCTTAACAGAAGAATGGTGATGAAATTGATCATGGACGAAAACGACATGTTTCAACTCGGAACTAATTTCAACGCAATTCAAAATCAAATTTATCAATTTCCGTGAATCATAGTTAAGGATCTGAAGATCATGAAGGGCTGATATGAAGTTTTATTAATCCAGGATCATTTTTCAACTAATTCAATATGATCTTCGTTCTCTAACCTTCTAACATTCAGTTATGTAGTAACAAGGTGCCTCAGAGGTTTCACGCTCGATTTTCATTTTCGAGTCTTTTTTCACTGCTTTTTGGACTGTCATAGCTGAAAACCATCTCTCACGCGCTAAACGTCTTATGGGTTGAGTTGGATCTTTTCTAATTGATCTCTTTAGCTCTAAGTTGATATGATTACCCTTCTTCCAGAACTAAAGGAAACAAATCTCGTGAAATCGCGTATCTTTCTTTCTTTCTCAAAATGGCAGTAAACGATATACCGAAAATATCTACCCGAATGTAGTACTGGGTAATGTAAAATATTCATTCGGTTTATTAAGCAAAAATTAAAATATTTAAAAAAAATAATCTTATTAACTTTATTTAACATATTTAGCACGGGCCAAAGAACAAAGCAGCAGGACTAGATGTGATTGTAATAGAAATACTCTCAGCCATAGAGAGTTTCGGCATTGACAAGATTACAGAAATAAATGAAATTTGCGGCAGTGGTGATATACGAGATGACCTTAGTTAGTCCATCTTCGTAGCGACGTCTAAAAAGACAGGTACAAATGAGTGCGAGCGCCACCGGACAATCAGGCAGGTATAAATGAATGAGAGGGACACCGGGCAACCAGGCAGGTGCAAATGAATGAGAACGCCATTGGACAATCAAGCAGATGCAAATGAACGCGGTCGCCACCGGACAATCAAGCAGGTGCAAATGAATGCGAGCGACACCGGACAATCAGGCAGGTGCAAATGAATGCGATCGACACCGGACACTCACGCAGTTGCAAATGAGTGAGATCGCCACCGGACAATCAGGCAGATGAAAATGAATGCGAGCTACACCGGACAATCAGCTTAACGAGTCACATAACCAACCAAATAACCGAATTTTGATAAACAGAGCGCGTAGCAAAATTAGAAATAATACAAGAACGGTTTGACTTCATAAAAGCCACTGTAAAAAGAAATGCGATATTTATGATTCGAATGCTATCTGAGAAAGCAAAACAAATACAGAAAGACGTATATCTATCTTTCATTGTCTATGCAAAGGCATTTGAAAAGTTACTACATAAAATCTATTTGGACTGCTAGGAAAATTTGATTTATCTGCTGGTAAATATATTAGAATAATCCGTAACTTATACTGGACGCAAACCGCCTGTATATGGGGAGAACATAAATTGAGTAAGTACACAAACATCGTAAGGAGCGTAAGACAAGGATGTGACGTCTCACCGGATGTATTCAACTTCAACAGCAAGGCAGTTATAAGAGAACTACCAAGATTTATTATTATTGGACACAATCTTAAGAACATAAGATATGTATATGACGTAGTATTGATGGCAGGCACAGAAAACTGCAGGAACTCCTATACAAGGTAGTAAAGAAAAGCGAGAAGAAAAGACTAACTATTGATTGTAAGAAGACAAACTGTATGGTCGTCAGCAAGAGGAACAGCCCAAGATGCCAGCTAGGAATTGGAGGAATTTGAGTCACAGCAAGTACAGAAGTTAAAATATCTAGGTAGTGTTTTAACAGATGACAAAAATTGTGACACTGAAATCCGAAGGCGCTTTTGAATAGCGGAAGATGCCTTCCCAAAGCTAAATAACTTAAATGTTCATTAATAAATAAAGAAAAAAAGTGCTAAACAGCTATATAATATCTGTCTTCCAATATGGCAATCAATACTGGATAATTTTCTTACAAAAGCAACAGAGAAGTGGTTCTCCAGAAAGATGCTGAAAATACGATGGACGAAGCATGTGAACAAAAAGGAAGTTTTAAGGAACACAGAATTAGAAATGATATTTAGAATGCGAAAGAGGCAGGTGAAATTTCTGATATATATTGAGGAATGAACGCTTGGGAAATTTGACACTCACAAGACAGGCACGAAAAACAGTGGAGAACAGTGACTTACGTAACTAAAAAAGCCTGTGCAAATGGATGGTAGAACAGGGATTGAAAAGATAGTAAAAAGAAAAAGATTAGGTGGAGCTACAAAGGATAAGAAGTTGTGGAGACCCATGATCGCCAAAATAGAAGTCTTGTCTCGCTATCATCGGTCATCTTTCAGAGAACTTCCCTCTTCCGAGAACTTTTTAGCTTTCTAATGAAAAACTGATGTAAAATGTCTTTTGCCGAAAATTCGGTAAAAAGACAAGATAAACGGTCATTCGAAGGTCGATTTTGCTTAACGGCATATCAACACCTCTATGGGTTATTTAATGCTGAAGTCGAAATAATTATATGCATTCAACTACAGATAAAATGTATTGGTAATTTTACTATAAAAATGTATTTTTGTACTTTCCTAGTATTTTGATTTTTGTTGGGGGAGGGGGAGGTGATTATTTGTCCGTAGATGAGGCCCGAATAGGTGCTATCAGCTCGGGTTAGGGTGGACCTGGAAACAATGGCAATTAAGAAGTGGTTTCATGCTCCTGAAAACCTGGCTGCCGGATGTAGTTTATCGTCATGCCCAAGACTTGTAATTTGAAGGTGTAATATTTGTTGAATATGACGGATGAGTGAAAGATTCCCTGCCAAGTGGTAACAATTTGTGCATCGTCACCAAATGAATCCGTCTTGCATTATTATGAACGAATAGTAGACCTTCTCTATGGACTAATTCCAGATAATATACGTCGATCTTTTATTTTCAGTTGATTTAAACAGGAAGATTACTAGTTCGGGTCAATAGTTTAGTTCTCCGGGAAATGAAAGGTTCATAGTAGAATCCAATCTCATAGCATCACATTCTTTGAATGAAGACCAATCGCTGACGGCATTAATAGTGGTTCACTTCGCCACAAGGTCTTACGTGAAATGTTGTAAAATATCTACATTTAATCGTACGACCATCAGTTTGTATAAAAAACACGGAACATTTGAAAACTCCCCATTATTTTCTTTTTATTTAACTTGGGAAGCCACACATCAAAGTGACTAACATAACCAAACTGGTGCAAAATGATTTTCAGAGCTTGATTCTGATATTTTTTGTATGCCACCTATCCTTTTTTTTGCATTAAATTATTCTTAATATTTTTATTTGATTGCATTCAATCTGATCATGTCTATCTGTTGAGTACCGGAAAATATTGCAAACTCTTTTTGACGTTCAAACATCCGCAGTCCCTTTTCCATAATTTTGCTTTTCGGTCACATTTTCACTTTTCTTTATAAAAGAAAAGTATACGACGAAAAACGTTGCCTATTCTTTCAATCTGTCATGTTAGAATCAAACAATGATACGTCAATTTTGATAAGTAAAGAACAGCATGCTGATATGACAATACAATGAAAAACGATCTTTTTGAATGATGTTAGTTGCAACTAAACTATCTTAATGCCATCTAATGACAGAAACAAAACGATATATTGGCCAGCTTAATAAAGATTTGTCTTTCAATTCTGTTTTAGCCCAAGACAAATTTTCTTTGGCACTGATATTCAGAGAACTTAAAACGATTACTTAGTTACTTATTTTAATGTATCATTTTAATTATAATTATTGCCATGCGACGAAAACAATAGTTAGTGCATTATTTAAACAAATGACCTGTAAATAATCAACAGTACTTTTTTTTTTATAGCCATCTCTCATTTATATTATTGCCAACTATTGTTTTTACATTTACATAAATATTGGAGTAATCGTTCTAAGTAACGCTCTTAATCGAAATAAGTGCTGTGTAATTTGTTGCGATTTTCTTTTGCAGGTAATCCAAGCAAGAATTTACAGCAGATATGCAAATCAGTTGATGTTAGCGGCGAAGTAATTGGGACAGGATACAACAACATCATCAGTCAGGCTCATCTGGATCTGAGAAAAGCAGTCTTGGAATATCTGCATGAAGACTTGAAGAGATATACGCAAGATCCAGAAACACCGTTAAGGTAGCCATCGTTTGTTTTGGAGTTGTTTTTTTTTCTATTTTATTCGCTTTGCACATTTTTTCAGTCTGCGACAGGCCTCTGGTGAGAAAGAAATGAAAACCGGTTAAGCCTTTCTTTTTCGATTTACTTTGAAGCAATAGAAACGTGGTTCTACAGAAGGATGCTGAGAATTTCATGACCCGAACATGTGAGCAACGACAATTTTAGAGGACATGGAAACAAAAAGGACATTTATATTTAGCATCAGGAAGAGACAACTGAAATATCTAGGACACACAATGAAGAAAGAGGGCTTGGAAAATTTGATACTCACAAGGCTTAGGAGAAATAATAAATTGACAAATATTATTATGAGCGATACAGGTTAATTGTGGAGATCCATTTTTGCCAACGTCCTGAAGAGACAGGGCACATAGAAGATAATATCTTTTATTTTTTTTGTTTGATTTTTATAGTTATTCATGTGTATACCCCCCCACACACACAGAGCTTAAAGACCAACCTAAGTTTAACTCGTTTATATTTCAGGAGATATAACACAGATTTTACAAGACTGGGTGTATTAAATGACAAAATCAAAGCATATATTTACCAGCCAATATTCAAAAAGGAAATTGCGATAATTTACGCAGGTACGTCAATATATCCGGGTGGGTGATAGCTGAGCTTTTGTTAAATAACCATCAGTGTACCCGGTCCTATAGCTAAGACATGTTCTTGGCACGGAAGAAGGGTCATTCAGATTTCTACCCAAAAGTCCTGTATTAATTACTTTCAGCCTGCACACTGAAAACAGACATCGTAGTTTTTAGGCCTGGATGTTTTTTAGTCTTTAATGATTATATATTTAATATACGCATAACATAGATTACATCCAGTCTATTTTATTCGCATGAGAGGGATGGTTTGGTTTGTTTTGTTTTACAGCATATCAACCTCAATGGGTTATTTAATGCCAACAATTTTTTTTTATTGCTGATAATATTTTGCTTTTCAAAAATCTGTTTCTGGTAATATTTTTCCTTCAAAAATGTATTGCTGGTAATAATTTTTTTAAAAAAGTATTGCTGGTAATATTTTTTTTTCAAAAATGTATTGCTGGTAATAGTTGACTATTTGTCCATATCTGGGACCCTAACAGGTGCTACCACCTCGAGTCAGGGTGAACCTAGGAACACCAGCAATTAAGAGGTGGTTCCACGCTCCTCAAAACCTCCTGATCAGAGGCCTTACTGCTGGAAGTAGTTTATCGTCATACCCAGGACGGAGAGATGGATGAAAACTGATTACATTTTTTTGCTCTTTTTATATGGTCTTTCGATGTACCGCTTGACGGTAACTATATTTCTTTGTTATTTTTACATGTCGTTTGATTTTAATATGTCCTCTTGTTTTTATAGTTATTCATGTTTATGCCCAACAGTCAGAAAAAAAACAAAAAAAAACAAAACAGAAAAGGCTTAGAGACCAACCTCAGCTTAATTAGATTATCTTTTGGGGATATATAACGCCGATTTTACAAGACTGGGTGTATTAAGCAATTAAAATGAAACAATGAAATAGAAACAGTTTCCTTAACTTTCATTAGTACAGTAGCTAAGTTCAAGTAGTCACAATATCAGCGAAGAAAAGTATAAAATAAAAACTCGTCCCCTCGTACTTATCGTCATCATCATCATTAGTCCATTGACAGCTTCAATCTTTCGGGGAACCTAAGTGTAGAAGAAGCAGACAACTTCTTCCAGGATGATCTGTTGGCGGTGGCTCTCAAGACTTCCGGTATTGTCATGCCTGTCCACTCTTTGGTGTTTTCTGACCATTTCTTGCATCAGCCAGCTTTCAACAGCATTATGGTCTTGCAGATTGCTATTATGCCGTATGACGTGGCCAAACCAGGTCATCTTTCGACGTTTAATAATGGTGAGGAGAGATTCCAGTCGGCTCACGAAAGTTTTGACCTTGCGCCATACATAGTCAATGGTTTTGTGCTTCGAGTAGGAGAGGAGCTTTCTCATTATTTGTTCTCGAACGCCTGGATCCTTTTCCCTTGCTCAACCAGGAATTTCTAAGTCTTGGACATTCCTTATAATAATCCGAAATAATTCTTTTGTCGAAGGCGAACAGTCACATTATATATTTTTTTATCCAATACAAGTTTTGAGAGCCACTCAAAGTAGAGGGGCTTTCATTAACATAGTTATGATGAAAGAGGGGGGTATGAAGTGAAAACTAGGAGGATAAGTAAGATACCTAACAATTGATCTATGAATTGAAGGGGTTAAGATTGTAGTTTTTAGGGAAATACCCACATGGGAGTCTGTTCCACTAATTGGCAATTCTTGCGAAAAACTGAGTGGAAGTTCCAACGGAATACGGAAGAAATGAGGATGATCCAATTCCGTGGAAGTGGCATGGCGTAGTCAAGCTGTAAAGGTTTCAAATGGTGGAAGTAAAGAATGGAGTTCATCTGAAAATTTTCCATGGAAATCTCGATAGAGAAGCAGTAGGCCTGCGACGCTTCATTTGTAGGAAAGTGTTGCAGAATAGAAAGTAAGTCCTCTCACCATTAAAAAAAAACAAAAAACCGCGCGAACGATTTGACTTCTATGAAGACTGAAAAGAGAGAACTGAGCCAGTCCCAGTCCGAGTGTGGCAGCAATACTTCATTTTTGGTCTTATCTGGTTCTTGTAAAGATATAAACTGGTAAAAAGAGTTTAGAGGCAAAATAGAATCTTTTGTTCTTGAAGAAGGAAGATTATCCAGTTTACTTTTTTAAATACTCATGCGCTAACAAAAACGTTGTAGATGTGATACTTTTACTAAATGAGCCTCAACTCCCATCTGTGGTTCTATGCTTTTTACAAGAGCAGTGATTGAGGAAACACTGACTTTGCTGGTATTGTAATCGGCTGTGTCAGTCGCCATCCTGACATTCTAATTTGCAGACACGGCAGTCGCCACCTCCTCGTGAAATATCATTAATTGTCCGGTGGGCCAAACTCTGACTAGTTGACATTACGCGAAACAATGTCCAAGCACCTTTGCAGTTTGCCCTGTCAATGTGGCCGACCAACGACGCTGATGTGGCGTTCTTAAATAGAAATATGTTTTATTAGCAGCTTTGAAGAAATGCAATTGTCCTCAATGACTGCAGCCACCCACGGGCCGGGCAGTTCCCGCGCTTGTCCCTTCCGTGGCCAGTCTCAGTCCATAACAAAAGTCATCACTGTCAATTTGCAACGCGCTTTCATTTCTCGCGAGAAAAGTGGAGAAAGGAAGAGGAAGGAGTAGAGGGGTGTGTGGTCGAAGAATGCGTACTCAGCTTTAAAGGCGAGAATGTTTAAGAATAATGACATTTGTTCGGCAAGCGTGTATGTTTGACTATGACAAATTAATTTAAATACTTGCTACATGTGTATGTGCTCGTCTGTCTATATATATTGTGTACTACAGCATATCTGTAACTACGTTAGGTATATAATTTTGGGTGAGATAAATATGATACGTGACAAGCATTGAGTAATTTGTATATATATATATATATATATATATATATATATATATATATATATATATTTATATTTGCTTACATACTGTCTACTGGAAAAACAAACCTGAATTTACTTTATAACATGGAAGACTTCAAGCTTATACGAAAATATAAGATCATATTGAAACGGAACGCTGATCTTAAAAAATTTTCGGTTATCTGTTTTGATTAGTCTTACTCTTATGTCCATCGTCTTTTCATGTTGAATTGAATATAGTCTAATGTTAATTATGTTTTATGAATATGTCCTGAAGATGGTCTACTAGATCGAAACGTCCGACGTTGACATTATGTTAACATTAAAACAGCATAATTGCATATTAGGATTTTTGTTTGATTTTCCGTATATTTTTCTTCATATATATGTATATCGTATTGGCATTTGGAAAAACGTTCATAAAAATATGTTTCGAAAATAATATCCGATTATGCATTTCGCCTCTAATGGTTTCATCAGATGGATAACGAAAGATTTATTGTGCTTGTATGCATTTGTGTGTGTTTAAAATAATTAAATCTTATATTATTTTTCCCAAGCTGGCGTTACTCGAGACCAAAACGAGAAAGAAAATGAGCGATTGGTAGAAAATAAATGAAAGAATTGTTTTTATCCATGCATTCCTCATGTCCAGAATATGTAATAAATTTGGGTACGTAATCCTAACAGAGTTATAAGTTATTGTTACATGTTTACCCATTCTGAAGGATTTTCCATCTCAAAATTCGGACTCTAAAAGGTGGGGAATATAAAAGATTAAACGATTTTTAAAAAATCACTTATTTTCTTTCTCCTTTTAGACTCCAGCAACGCCAGCTTGGGAAAGAAAAATATAAGATTTAATTATCACACACACACACACACACACACACACACACACACACACACACACACACACACACACACACACACACCTTTTCGCTATCCATCTGATGAAGCCATGAGATGCGAAATGCATTATCGGATTTTATTTTCGAAACATACTTTCATGAACATTTTTCCAATGTCAATAACTTATAACTCTGTCGAGATTACACACCCAAATGTATAACACACAGACACACACACACACATACACACACATTTTTTTTTAAAAAAAAAGAACGTATAAACATAAAAATGTCTTAAAATAATTGCCGGACTTTGTCCATTTCATAATGTGTGATATCATTTGTTTACATTTTGGATACGCATCGAGCAGATATGAATGTATTAGAGAAAATCATGGAGAATTGTAGTTTAAAAACAGTAAAATCGACCTCGCTAACTGAAACGCTCCTCTGTGGCTAAATCGGTAAAGCACGTCAGGCTATATGACGGTTTCGTATAGGATACAGGTTCGATTCCAGTCGGAGGACGCATATTTTCTATGAAAATTTCTCGGACATTCAGGCCGGTAAATGTTGTTAATACTGTTTATTATAAACAGAGCATTTACTTAAATATTTGCA